TGCCCATTTAACGAACGATGTCGATCAACTGGTAATAACAATCGAGAGTCTAGATTGTATTCTTCTAACTGTAAATACCAAAATTCACGAGATGTTGTCATATCAATTAGCCGTTCATGTATACTATAATCAATATATTGCAATGATTCGTCATCGTCTTCTGTTGATATTGCATTAGTATTATAAGCGAAACATAGATCATTGAAAAAGATTGAACGACTTGCTCGGTCAAATGCTGTATGATGAAAAGCAATGAGGAGAACATCTGAATTCATTACGACCTCATTGTTATGATTTTCATTTTCATTTAATGATGTTTGATGTCTCAGAATTTCAGTATGAAAAACACGACCAGTCGATAAATCGAAGAGATTTGGATTAGTAGTTGTTCTATAAATGATATCTCGAAGTTCCTTTTCATTTTCAAATGTTTGATTTATAGTTATTGCGAATGTTTTATGTATGTTTGTAATACATTGTTTTAAACTACTATTATTATTGTGAAACATAAGAGATGTACGTAGTATTTTATGTTTATTCAAAACAAATCGAAATGCTTGTAATAAACGATTTAACGATAATGATCCTTGGACAACTTGTAACGTAGATACTTCATTATAGACAGCAATATCACTCGAAAAGCGAACTTGTTCATCAAGAAATATACGTTCCTGAGCAAAAGAGGCAATACCTGTGAATTAAATAATAGAAATTATTTTAATGACTACCTAGTAAACACTTCTACCTTCATTAATATGTAATGTGTGCCATTGTGTTGGCTTGGTATTATTCATTATGACTGTCTGAAGTAATTGTGAATGTTGACAAATAGTGGGTTGCTGGAGAAATGGCGCAATCGAAAGTGAATGAGCATCAAAGTTAAATACTGATTGATAATGATGATAAAGTTGAATAAACAACAGTGAATGACCACCAACACTGAAAAAACTGGTAGTTCTAGAAATATGATTTTGATTAGAATGAAGAACTTGACACCAAATAGTATGTATACGTTCTTCAAACTGATTGAAAGGAGTATCAGACTTATCGGGCGACAACAAAGTCGGTAAAGAAAAGTTGGGTGAAGGAAGTTGTTTTCGATCGATTTTTCCATTTTGGTTCAAAGGTAGTTTTTCAAGAATAATAAATATGGATGGGATCATATGTGGTGGAAGATGAGGTTGACAATGTTCACACAATTCTTGTTCACTAATATCAGAACTTTGAATATATGCAACTAAATAATCATCAATCCATTTCATGACAACACAAGCAGAGATGGATGTAATGTTAAGTAAACATCGTTCGATTTCACCAAGTTCAATTCGTTGTCCACGTAATTTAACTTGAAAATCTTTTCGACTGATATAATGAAGAAGACCGTTGTGATTCATTCTAATAAGATCACCTGTTCGATAAAATAGTTCGCCATCTATTTCAACAAGAGCTTTTGCTGTCAAATCATTACGACCAAAATATCCGGCAAATACACATGCACCACCAACAAATAATTCACCTTCTTGATTAACAGCAGCAAATTGGAAATATTCATCCATAATTACACAGTGATAATTAGGAAGTGGTTTTCCAATCGACATTACTTGTTTATCACAATCAAAATTGAATCCTATTTGAAAATATGTTGTAGTAATTGTTACTTCAGCTGGCCCATACACATTCCATAGTTGACAGCCAATCGGCGATGATAATGATGGTATAGATACATACTTTTTCAGACGAGACATTATTTGATTTGTTAGAACATCACCTAGAAATGAAATAAATCCTTTTGTGTCTCACTAAAAGTTATCGAATTGAGTAGGCTTACCTCCACTACACAATGTTCGCAATTTCTTTAAACATTCTTTTGCATTTTGTATTTCAAGATGTTGACATAATGTATCAAGATAACTTGGTACAGCATCCAGAAAAGTAACATCTTTGTCCATTAATTCATGTATAAGATAAGTTAAATCTTTATTACCATAAGGATGTAGCATAACTAAACCAGCACCACTCATCAACGTTACAAAAGTATCTTGAAAATGAGTGTCAAAAGAACAGCTTGCCATTTGTATTACGTTGTCACTTTTTTT